TTAGATATAGCTTACACTTTAAGCTTTTAAATAAAACATAAAACTTTTAAAGAAATGTGCTATAGCTATGTATAAAGTTTTTTAAAAGATAATAAATAACTATAGCACTAGATAACTTTTATAAGCTAATTCTATAGCTAACTTATAAAGGCTAGGCAATAATAAGAAGTAGGTAATTATTAAGACTATACTTAAGCTATATGCGCAAGGATTTTCCCTTTAAATAGCATTTATAGCTAATATAGCTAATTCTTTACACGCTAAGTGTAATCTAGGCTATATTAGCATAAACTAGCTTAGTATGTTTAGAAAGTGTTATCTAGAGCTTAAAGTAACATTTAAGCGTAGTATAACTATAAAAGAGCTTTTTATAAGAGTTCTAGGGTAATTTAGAGCAGGTTTAGCCTTATAGAGAATATTAAAGCTAAGTATAGCATCTAGGATAATAACATGTATAACTTTAGCAAAATAGGCTTTATTATAAGCTAAATATCTATTAACTATACTTGCGTTTAAAACTTTACTTTAAGCTTTAAATAACACTTTATAACGTGTTTCACCACTAAGCAGGCGGCACTACTAAGCGGGCGGTTTTTGCTTAGCACAACTATCTCCCTTATCTATCTAAGATGTCTTAACAACGTAATGTAATACTATCTAATTAAAAAGGCAGAATTAATTTTACTTTTAAGGCTTATTATACACACTAAATTTAGAGCTTCTAACACGCTGCTGGTACATTTAGTGTACCTTATTTAACCCTTAAGTATTAATACTATAGACGCGCTTATTAACTACTTACACCTTTTAATAGCTAGAGGCTTACCTTTACTAAAAAAAATTGTTGTCTAATATATTTTTAACTTTAATATATAAGGTTTTACGCCCTTAAAAGCTAAAGTTAAAAATATAGTAAATAAGATACTAGCTAAGTAGGGTGTAAAGCTAGTAGGTAAGAACTAGGTAGATAAGTTTATAGTATACACAAAAAGGCTTAAGATAGTGTTTAAGTACATAAAAGATATTTAAAGAATTAAGTAAAAAGATCTTAAAATTATAAGCGCATAGTTTAAGCTTATAAAGAAAATAATAGCTAAGTATAGTGTTTATAATAATAATGTGCATAACTTTAATAAGACTAGCTTCTAGATAAGAGTTATTAGCTTTATAAAGGTTGTTATAAGCTTAGAGAAGCGCATAGAGCTTAATCTTATCTAGCTAGGTAATTAGAAGTAGGTAACTATTATTTAGAGTATCTGCGCTGCAGGGTACATAATTCTGCTCTTTATTATTTATAAAGAACACATTTACAACTTAGCATAGTATAAAAAGGCTAATATACTTTATAATTAAAAGCTCTTAGTCTCTAATAATAAATAAATAAATAATAAGCTTAGAGTTATGTAGTTAAAGCACTTTAACGCGCATATAAGAATGTGTTAGGTAAAAGTGTATTAACTACTTATTTTAGACAGTTATAAAAGCTAGTAATCTTAGAATTTTAAAGACTACTGCTTAGAATATAAGATTCTTACACTTTACATGCTTACTTACTTATTACATATTCTCTAGCTTTTAAATGTAGTCTGTTTCTTACTATTAAAGTTAAAGTACTTTTAATATATTTAAAACTCAGCGCACTAACATGTCTACTATATTAATAAAAAAAGCTTTTTACTAGTGTTTAAACTTATTTTTTTAACATGTTTTAGAAAAAGAACTACTAGAAATCTTTTAAGGCATTAAAGCTTATTCCTTTTAACACAGCAAAAGTCTTAAATTAACTTAATATATAATTATGCACCTTACTAGAACCCCTTTTCTCTACTAACCCCTAGCAGTTAAAGACCTTAAGTAATATATATAAATTTAGCTTTTAGTTAAAGCTAGTACTTAAATTTATTAAAGAATTACTAGTTATAGCCTTTGCTAAGTTCTTATAACTTGTTAAAGGTGCTAAACTTATACTACACTAAAATGTGCTCTAAGCTATTTACATGTTTAAGCTTAAAAAGTAATTAGATATAATAACTAAAAAAAGTTACATAAAAAAAGTAGCTTTAAAAAGGTAGCACTTTAAAGTGTAGTAAGGCAGCAGATTAGGTAGCTATAGAGCTATCTTTAACTGCGCAGCAGTCTAAGAAGGCTTATAGGCAGAGTAGTTAAGATAGGGCGCTAGCAACTTAACGTTGCTGTGGAACGTGTAGAGGAGCTAGGCATAATGCGCAAACCTGTAGGTAGGTTAAGAAGGTAACTTCTAAATTAAAAGCAAGTACATAGTATATATTTTTAGATAGTAGTAGTAAAGAAATTAATCTAGAGTAAAATAGAATAGTTGTGCTAAGCAAAAACTGCCTGCTTAGTAGTGCTGCCCGCTTAGTAGTAAAACATGTTAAACATACTAGGCTAGTTTATGCTAACATAGCCTAGATTACACTTAGCGCGTAAAGAATTAGCTATATTAGCTATAAATGCTATTTAAAAGAAAAATCCTTACGCATATACCTTAAGTATAGTCTTAATAATTACCTGCTTTTTATTATTACCTAGCCTTTATAAGTTAGCTGTAGAATTAGCTTATAAAGGTTATCTAGCACTATAGTTATTTATTATTTTTTAAGAGACTTTATACATAGCTATAGCATGTTTTTTTAAAAGTTTTATGTCTTATTTAAAAGCTTAGAGTATAAGCTATATCTAACATTCTTTTAGCATGTTTAAGTAGTGTTGTTAGAAATGCATTAGTGTAGAAAAAGTAGTTTAGTAAGGTCTTAGTAAAAGTAAGCAACTTAGGTGTGTAAGCAACTCTTCTATAAAATACGTTATACCTCTTATAGCTACTTAATGTAAGTTATTTTACTTCTTTAAAAAAAAGTGTATAAGCGCTAAGCTAAAAACCTTATATGTAACTAAATTACTTATATTATAAAAATAAAGTTTCTACTATGCTTTAAAGTAGCTTATAATGCTATAATTACTTTTAGTAATATTTAAGAAAGGTTTTAAAGCACTAGATTAGTTCCTTTTAGCCTATAATAAGTTATAATAAGGCTTAATATAAAGTTACGCACTTTATTACTACTACTACTTATATATAATAAGCCCTAGCAGTTGTAAACTCTAAGTAATATTTTAAAACTTAAGTTATAATTAATGCTTATAAAAATAAAAATTTAAAAGTATATAAATAGTTTACTAACTTTTATAGTTAAGGCGTTTAAAAAGGTTTTAAAAGAGGTAGTAATAATTATGCATAAGCTAGTGTTAGTGTAATAAGAAATTACTAAGCTTTAAGTAGCTAATAAAGCTACTATATACTATAAATTACATAAAAAAAAGTAAATTAAAGCAGAAAAAACTTTAATAATTTAAAAAGGCTTATGCTTAACAGCTTTAAAGAAGTTTAAAGCGCGTAGTAATAGAAAAAAAGTAAAAAAGTAGGTGTAAGCTAAAGTAAGTAAGCTATTCTAAAGGCGCTACAGATAGTGTAATTAAACTAGGCATAACATGCAAACATGTAAGTAAGAAGTAGAAGTAGTATCTAAATAATATTCTAGGCTATACTGTACTATATAGTGCTAGAGCGGGTTGTTATAGGCTATAATAGAGTTTGTTAGGGTGTAGTCTTAGCAAAAGTAAGCAACTTAGGTGTGTAAGCAACTCGCCTGTAAAGTACGTTATACTACTATTCTTATAGTATAGAAAATTAAAAAATAGTTTTGATAATAAAAATAGTTTTAGTAATAAAGCTACTAATAAAGATTAAAAGTATATTAGTAAGATTAACTATCTAAAAAGTAATTACTTATAAACTTTAATAAATATATAGATAATATCATATTTCTAAAGACTAAAGAAGCTAAGATAAATAAGTAAAATAATAGTTTCTAGAGTATAAGCTTTTATAAGAAGTTATAGCCTAAGCTTTAGCTTAATTACGCTATAGTAGTGTGCTCTAAGTATAACCTAGCTCTTTCTACCTAAGGAGATAAAAAAGATAAATATAAGGTTAAGTAAGTTCTAAAGGCCTATATCTTTAAAAAAAAGTTTAAATACTATGTAAAATAAGTTAGCTATAACAAGGATCTAAAGTAGTATAACATAGTAAACTTTAAGAATAGCCTACACAAGCTCTATAACTTCTATAGAGCTAATCTAACCTAACCTAGACCTCTACAAAGGCTAGATTACTAGATGCAATGCTAGAAGAAGGATAGGGATGCTAACAACTATCTAGATAACAATAAGCTAATAAATAAATTAGTTAGATAGCATAGAAAACTTTACTAAAAAAAAGAATTAGAAGTTGTAAGTTAGTAAAATGTTTTACTTAAATTAAAATAATAAGGCTTAGGTAGAAAGTTTTTACAGATTTAAATTGTCTTAGCGTAAGTTAACGTTACGCGCAGGGAGCGTGGAAATCACGTTAGAGCCTTAGTATTGTTGCTAGTTAATACATAGATACTAGTTTAAGCTATAAGGTCTTAGCTAGGCTTATTGCTAGCTTTAACCTAGACTTCCTAGGTTGTGCAGATGTGCTTAGACCAATGTTGGATGAATAGAGGACGGGGTAATGGTGTTGTTGCGTTATCCACTAAGACAGCATTCTCCTCCACATCGCCCTCATCTAACATATGTTGTTTTCACTACGCTAAGCTTGCCTAGTTGGGGGCCATTGCCTATGTTGTCCTTCCGCCACACTAAGCGACGGTTCATATTCGTAGGCCGGAGAGGTTGACGTCGCTTGGGTTGTGATGCCTGTTAGTAAGGCTGTGGGCGCGTTTTTAGGACGGGGCGAGGTAAGCGGGTCGGCGAGCCATTTGCGGATGACGGCGGAGCTGAACGTTAGGGGATTGCGGGTACTAGATGCTTCCAGGATCGCAGCTAGGCAAGGTGCTAGGCATGCGGAGCGAGAGTAGAGGGACGGGTGAGGACTTGATTGTTTGTTTGCGATGTTGCGTCTGTGTCTAAAGATGCTGATTGGCGGATCCAGCCGCCGCCTAGGTAGCTACGATTCGGAGCGGCTTAAACAAGTCAGTTTTCGACCCTAATAGCAAAGAGACCCTCTGCCTCCAGAGCTTCTTGTTCCGAAGCGCGACCAGACCTTGCTCGTTAGAGCTCAAACCGTCCGTTGATGCTTGCAATGTTTTGTCCTTGATGTCGACCTTGGTAGGGTCTTTGGAATCGACTGTGATATTCCAAGAGAACGAGCCTGTGTCGATCCCAAAAAGCTTTCCTGCATAGTAACAGAGCTGTTTCCACTTCACGTCGTTGAAAGAGATATTGTCGACGAGGTCATTGCCTTTGAAGACTTTCAATCTGCCGTCCGGCCCTGCCACGAAAAGACTGAACGTAGGTACCGCATCAGCAGTCGTGCCGGCTGCATGAGTTGCCACTGTGACTAGATTATCTGCAGGTAGGCATTTGTCACCGACCTTCTTCCAACCGTCAAGGAACAGTTTGGGCCAATTGTTTTTGGCATCGGCCCGTTTCGTGTCTGTCATGGGCCGCGGTTCCTTCTTCCACAGACTCCTTCCAACACTGAGATAGAATGACCCATTGTAAGGAAACATGTGGACCGCACCCTTGGTCGTGTCAGCTTCTGCAGGTAAGTTGTCGAAGTGAGCCCAGCTCTCTGTGACGGTGCCAGCACCAGTGCCCGTGGAAGTCTTGTTGAGCTATCGGATTGCTCGACCAGCTAGACCGACAATAGGTGACGTATTGAGCGTTGCGTTGTATTTGTCCAAGTTGGGCTGAGTCTTTGGACAGTCAGTATTCCTCGGGCAAAGTTAGAAGGTATACTACCAAGAGCTCATCGAAATTGACGAGAATGGGCGTCGCAGCCGCCACCATGGTCTTCATGGTCAACGCCGCTCCCTTGCCCTTCTCGCCCTTGAGGAAATCGGTGACCTCCTTGATAGCATCCTGTTGCTCTTTCGTCTTACCGATTGGTTTACTGGCTGGCGGCGCAGCGAAGCCCGATGGATCTGACTGCTCACCAAGTGATAAGGCATTCGCGTCGAAGGCTGCTTTCTCCGTGGCAGCCCTGTTGCTTTGCAGTAAGTTCACGGAGGTCAATACTGTTCATGACCTGTTCTTTGTTAGCATGCAATACTGCATGAACTTGACATGAGAAGAGCCTGCCTTGTTGTACATCTTGGTGTTGTACGCAATAGTGTCGGCATCATCAGTAGTGTCCTCCCGCCGGACCTCCGTCACCACCTCGTTGGTGACGATGTCGAGGAATGGGAGTACTTGGGACGGGGAAAACATCTTGACTCGTAGATTTGATGGAAACGTCTATCAAAGTGGAAGGCATACACCCTGGAGTGCCCTGACGATCTCGACTTAACGTCCTGTCGGATGGACTTATATGCTTGGTTTCCTGGGCACAAGATACAATTCGAGCTGCGAAGCATTGGCAAAGGCTCTTTCAGCAGCGACATTTAGAAAGCGTTGCACAGGCGGCAAGCCGGTCGTCTATCCTGAGTCAATAGTCGGACCTGAATTTCAGCTGAAGTGGAGTATTGGCAGCCTAGAACTTGCGCGGCTCGATGCAATTATCTGCAGGCATGCACTTCAATGCACACGCAAGAATCTATGGGACGCGAAGGACCCTCGATTCAGCCCGGGAGAAATGATCGAGGACCAAATCAGCGACCCGCGTACTCCAAGATTCGGAGAGCTAATCCCAGGCATTGGCACTGTGACCCGAAGAGTGACAAGCCAGTAGTGTATCTCAAGCATTCTTGTTCGTACGGAGTACGCGGTGACATGGATAGTAACTGTAGACCATGCGACCCTTTCAGGGCAGCGATCGCGATCCAAGAGTGTAGAACGTTCTGGGCACTGTGATGATTGTTGCAGCATGCGTTCGCGAGGTCCACCGTGGATTAAATGGCGTGGCAGGAGTGAGCTGAAAAGGCTCAAAGCTGAAGGATAATTAGCGTGTGCAAAATGTCGTAAAACCTTGGCACAGAAAAATCTATCTGGTGCAAAAATCAGTGGAATTCCTTAGCAACACAACAATTTTCCCTGCACGCGTATAAACTTATACATAAACTGTAAATTTACTTATTTTATGTAAGAATTACATAATAACTATTTAATAATTATTAGTATAACTTAAGGTGATATAAATACATGTATAAAAGCTATACTAACACGTTTTTAGTGTTATAGTTTATTAATATGCTTATAAAGAGGCTAAAAAGAGCGCGTATACTCTCTATAACTGCAGCAGAGGCTGCAGCTATTACAGCACATAAGAAAGCAGTAAAGCTATGTTAAAAAGCTATAAAAGAATAAGTAAAAGCTATAAAGTGTACTAAAAAGTAGATAACATGCTTATAGTGTAATTAACTATAGTTTATAAAGCCTTTAATAGCTAACATAGGCCTAGAAGCTGCTTAGGTAAGCCTTGCTTAAGTTACTACGCCTATTACTATATAAATAAAGTGTAACGTTATACTATTATTACTACTACTAATACTTAAAACATAGCCTAAGGCTGTAACTATTAATTTATTTACTTAGTTGAATTTACTAATAGTAGGCAATGTTATACTTATAGTAGCTACTTTTATTTACTCTTCTAACTTATTATTACTATTAAATATACTAAAGTATAATTATAAAGTTAAATATAAGCTAATTATTAATAAAAAACAGCGCTATTTACTATACACTAAAGTAGTATAATTACTTTATATAGTAGCTAGAGAACGTAGAGAATGTTATAAATAAGCTACTAGCTATGCTAAAATCTTAACCTAAAAACTATAAGTATAAAATTATTTAGAAAATAAATAACTTTTAAGTAAGCTTAAAAGTGTAAAAAGTAATACACTTACTAGTAAATTTTAGTGTAGCTAAAAAAAAACATTTTTTAAGTAATTTAGCTATTAAATTAGTAAAAATCTACTTTTTTAAGTAGTAAAAGTAAATATTAAAGTTACTATTAAAGCGCTTACTTTATAAAAAGCCTTTAAGTATAATTAGTACATTAATAAGCTTTTATTTAATATACTTAACTTATTAACACTATAACTTAAAAAAACCTAAGGTGTACTTAGCAACTACTTAATAAAGCAAAAGCAGTATAGCATTTATAAGATATAAGTACATAAAAGAACTAAAAGAAAAGGCTCTACTATTACTAGTGTTATAGTAATAGTAAGTATCTAAATATTAAGTGCTAGTGCTAAGTTACTACTAGATTTAAGCACTATAAAGTTTTACTTATAAATATAAAATCTTAGGTTAACATAATTTTTATAAGTATAGTAAAGCTTATTATAGTTATCTTTAATTTAGCTTATTAATTACTAAAAAAGCTTTACTAGTAGTAGTAACTAGCTAAAGCTAAAAGGTAAGTGGAAAAGTAAAAAGCGCTATAGTTCTACTACTAGTAAGAGTAACTTTAAGTGTAATTTTTAGCACACTTTAAAAAAGCATAAGTGTTAGTAGGCTAGGTAAAAAGTAAAGAATAATGCCTAGTAGTAAAAGAAGTAGTGTAAGATAGTTTAACTTTAGTGTAAAAATATAAGGTTATAGCTAAACTTTTCTAAATTTAGCTAGCCTAGCCTGCTAATAGGCTATCTATATAGCCCTACTGCTACTAGTTACTTTTACCCTACTTATTCTTTTTATTTATAGCAGCTTTACTTACTTTTACTACTATTACTACTACTACTAATTACTTAGCGTTTTATTACACCTGCAATAGCGCTTTTTACCTATATGCTAAGCTTAAGCCCTATAAGCAATAAAAAAATAAATGTAATTATAAAAAGTATAAGTGTAAAATGTAGTAATCTTAGAGTAGTAAACTATTAAAAATTTATAAAAATTATTAAACTCTAGTAAAGATTTTTATAAAGTAGTAGTTAGTAAGCGCTTCTAGTAAAAAAAAATTAAAGTAGTTAAGTACTACTACTACTACTACTACTACTACTACTACTACTACTACTACTACTACTACTACTACTACTACTACTACTACTACTACTACTACTACTACTA